TCTCAAAAATAAATAAAAAACATTAAAAAAAATTAAAAAAAAATTTTAGATATCCTGGAGAATGTCATTTTATCCTTAGACTATGTGAAAATCTTATATAACGATAAAAAAAAAAAAAAAGACTAGATTATAAGAATGTGGTTGGGACACCGAGCTTGATAGACTGGAAATGGCAGCCTGGGATTGCAGGGAGCATGCATAGTGAGCTGGAGCACGAACACCCACGGGGCTGAGTGGTTTGGGACAATCACCGACGTTTCTAGTAGCTGTTCTCTCTTTAAGCTCTAACACGCCACAACGGGCATCTTGGTGTCCTAGACGTTTCTTCAATGGGTATATTTTTCAAAATCTGTCATTTATTTGGGGGATGAGCAAACATGCAGAACTCTCTAAACAAAGGAAACGAAAGGGTGACAGCAAGCTTACCTTTGTTGGGAACCAGAACGTTACTAATTTCACTCCTCTTTCTTCCCCCCCCCCCTTGTCGTCTCTTGGATAGCTACCTGGTAACTTGGCCAAGAAAATAGAAGTCACTGACATTCAACAACCATCTATTAAGTGTTTGCAACTTGCAGAACATTGAGTTAAACACAGAGGTTTCAACAGTGGATGGAGGAGATGTTCTCTGATCTCATGGGGCTCCTGGTTGATCAGAGAAGGCGGAAAATTAGACAAGTAATCAAAATAGCATGTAGTCAGGGCTCTGACATAATCCCACAGTTGCCTTGCGAATTCTAGATTCTAAATAAGGCCTGTTTCTACATGTCGTTGAGCATGTGTGATCCAGATGGATTATGGGACCGTCTATTCCTTTGTGTAATTTTTCAGTTTTCCTCTAAATGGTCACCAAAAGTGACTGCTCTGACTACACACAGCTTTAATTTCCCTGGGGGTCCAGTCTGTGCATGAGAAAGCAGTTAAAATGAACTCATGTACAGTTGGGGGCAGGGGAGGGAGACCAAGTGCTAGTATAATTGTCACGGAAAAGTAGAAATGCAAAATCGCTCATTATCTGCGCTCCCGCTCTTCTCTCCCTTAGGACATCTACTTGGCCTCTCCCATGATGATTCCAAATTCTGTGAAGAGAACTTTGGTTCCACAGAAGATAAGCGCTTAATGTCTTCCATCCTAACCAGCATCGATGCGTCCAAACCCTGGTCCAAGTGCACTTCAGCCACCATCACAGAATTCCTGGATGATGGCCATGGTATGTGTCATTCAAGACAACACGGGCTCAGTCACAAAACTTAGGGGGGATTATTACCAGTGTTACTTTATAACGTCCTCATGAAACCCACCACGCCCTGTGAGACGGTGGTTGTTTAGGTAGGGTCAGAAAAGGACCAAAGGGACTGTCTGTTGTTGTATAATGCCAACGTCCTTGGTGGCATTATAGCTATGGTATTTTTGCTTTGGAATTGAAAAGTTCAAAAGAGAAACAGTGTGGGAGACCACACAGAATGCCTAGCCAGTGCCCTGAAAGCCTGGCTTCTATTCCGTCTTTCACCACTAGCTTCCTGTGAGAATATTGGCAGACATCTTGTTTCCCTGCTATTAATATGACTCTCAGAATTATTTGTTACATGCCTCTTACAAGGGTGTGGTTACAATGTAGGTGACCATTCTGTTGGATCCTCTTCACGGCAACAGAAAGACAGGAAAGGAAGCTCTTTAGATTTGCATTCACTGGAAGAATCTGGTTTTATCCTGACAGCAGATTCTCCTAGAAGTAGAATGAAAACTACAGAAAAGAACAAAATCAATCTGAATGGTGAGAAAATACTTTAAGAACTTCAAAGGAAAATCTTTGGTTTTATCCATTAGATACAGTTCAAGAGCATAGCACACTTTATTAAATTCTGTAAATCTAGGATTAGTCCTATAAATTGTATAAAAATACCAAGGAAGTCACAGTTTTTAGAAATAATAAATTCTGACCTTTAAGTAGTTTTTGAAACAAGCTGTTGCTAATTTCCTAACATCCTTTTTTATTTTCTTTATTTTTTTCATCTTTTATTATTTTAAAGTTCTAGACACACAGGATAGATGCATTAGAGTTGAGGTAGTTGACCTACAGAGACCGTGTGGTTCACAATTTTCTCAGGTTATAGCAATGGACATATTCTCATTCCTTTCTTTCCTCTTAAAATTTGTCTCTTTTTGAAACTGGTGGTTGAACTGAATATGACAGAAATTTTTGATCATAATAATTGTCCATAAAATTATCTCATGATGCATGGCTTAGAGTTAGCTGAAGAGGACCCGTGATAGTTGTTTTTCTTGGTTCCACAAAGCTAATGGCGTAACATTTCATAATATCTTAGTGAGTTGGCCATCTTGAACACTGGCTAAGTAACGTCAAAACAATTGATGAATCCTTCAAAGAAATTCTGCTACCAAGTTCTTTGGTATCATGGAGGCAAAATCTGTTCATTAACTCCATTTTGCTATGTTAGTGGTGAACCAGTAATGCTTTAGCTACTTTAAACTCTTTAAAATATCTTATTTCTGAAACCATCCAGGCCTAGCCTGGTTTAAAATTTCCCTCAATAGAAGCTGCTCTTTGCTCATTGGATGGACGTCCCAATATCTCAAAGATTTAGGAAAAAATACTAAGAATCCATGTGTCAGGCTTTTTCTTAAGACTAATAATAAGGGGTATTTTTCAGTGCAGCTCAGTTTACAATGCTGACTTAAAGATGATAAAGTCCTGCAATTGAATGTTAACCTAATTACCTGCCTGTGCACATTGAACAAGTCAGTATCTAATAAAGTCCCTCTTGGGTGGGGCGTTAGTCTCCGCTCTTAATATCACTTTTGCTGCTTTTTTCCCAGGTTTTCTGAAAATGAGATAGCATTAATATTTTATTTCAGAATACACATTACACATTCCAAAAGTTTGAGCTAAACTTTGAATCCCTAAATGAATGGATTTAGTTGCTAAGGCAGCAAATACTTATGGCTAAAACGGGACCATTTTTATTTTCCTGTGCAAGTATTAGGTCAGCTAATTACAATGCTGTGCAGAATTGTGTTCCTTATTGCCATAATTTTGGAATGAGTCGTTTATTTCATGTTTGTGGAATTCATGATCTTACTTTCTGTGCAGTAAATATGCTTTCAGTATTGTCTTCATTTTTATTTTTTTTT